TATATATATATATATAATCTTTATATTCCCATTCTTACTACAAGTCCCCCCTTTGGTACAGTGACCAAAATCAGGCTCACTGCTACCACTTTCAATCTCTATGTGACAGTGGGTGCATCATGATGTGATTTTTTAGGGAATAGATGATGGAATCTTTATATTCCCATTCATACTACAAGTCCCCCCTTTGGTACAGTGACCAAAATCAGGCTCACTGCTACCACTTTCAATCTCTATGTGACAGTGGGTGCATCATGATGTGATTTTTTAGGGAATAGATGATGGGAACAATGTCTAGCAACAAGACAAACCAAAAGGAAGGCATTAAATACAAAAACAAAATCCAAGAAAACAAAATCTCAAAAAAATCAAACAGAAACAGGGCATGTTTGCATAGTTACTTACATAGGGAAAGGCCTTGGAAGCATTCTTATCACAAATGGAAAATATTTCAAAAATTTGCATTTACAATAATAACATACAAACTCTTCTTTTTGTTGGATTGTGGACACAAACATAGCTTTATCATATAAAGTCATACATTTCAAATCAACTCTTCTTTTCTTCTTCTTCCACTTCTAGTGTGTATTGGACAAAAAAACCTCTTGCTATTCTGAGTGTTTGGTTTGGGTTGCTTACTGATTTGTACAGGAAGTGTTCTACTCTCTATTATAGGTATACCTGTCAAACTTGAGTCCTTGTTTGCCATGGATTTCTCATGTTCTGTTTTATGGCCTGTACTGTATCTGTAGTGCTTTGTTTCTTTCACTATGGGGAATGGGGGGGGGGGACGACACAACCTGTGGAGGAGTGTGTGAGTGTCTGCGAATGCTTTGCTGCACTGATTTACAACTGCTTTCCAAGGGAGCCCCCGACTGGGAGGAATGTATAATGACCTTGAATGCCAGTCTCTGCTAGCTGGCTTCAGTAGATAATGAAACTGTAGGTTTGCAGGTGGGGGGAGGAGGCTAACGGAGCGTGCTAGGTTTAGGCGGGCTGCTTGGATGGACGGATTGGATGGGGGCCTGGGGCAATAGGGTGTCTTGTTTGAATCATGTATAATACCTGAACTGATGCCAAAAGAATCAGTTCTGACAGAAGATGGTCTTAGCTTGATACGTCCTCATCTCTCAATAAACATATCACTGCAAAGAGAGTGTTGTTGGGAGCAAATTTGTTCGGGAGTATGATATTATCCACACTAGTTGTTTTATGTTTAAACCAACTATTTGATTGCGATGCAAAACCCGAAATATATATGTTTATTAGCAAGATGCTGTTTGTTTCCAACAGCTGAATATATTAGAAGTGATCTTGTGCTTCTGGAGCAATAGAGACTACATTTTTGAAAAGCATCTCTGTTTTTGATCAAAATTGTTCAAAGCTCATGTCTGACCCAAGCTGTCCAATTCGTTTTGAAGAACAAACAGTGCATAGATCTGCTCCATCACTCGAAATGCATAGGATCGTTCTTGTAGGCCAGGCGTCAAACTTGTTTTTTACAACGACCACCGGATCTGACACAAAAGTTACTTTGTTGGGCCGGGCCATGTCTGCCATAAAATGTAATGCCAGGTACATTACATAAACTTTATAAATGACACAGGCAAACCCAGTTAATGATATTATTTTACCATGACCAAAATAACAAACACAAGCAATTGATTCCTAGGAGTGAAAGCAATTGATTTAGTGGGGAAATCCACAAAAGCCCCAAGAAATGTATTCGTTTTTTCCTTCCAAGGGATACCATACCCACACCCTAGCCATTTCCTTTCACTTCTTGACAGCTTTGACCACACACAACTCACCGTCAATGTTCCCTCTAAGCTGTGGAGTCTTGTGAGCAAAAATTCTACTTTGTGAGCTACTGGCATTAAAGTTGTGGACTAGCGATTAGGTTACTGCATAAATTAGTTTGCCCTAGAGCTATCCTTCCTCAGCGAAGACAAAAATGTGTGAGCCAGAGGCTAAAAAACTGTGAGCTAGCTCACACTAACTCAGCTTAGAGGGAACACCGCTCACCGTGTGTGCCCACGCACTCATCCCCCCCCCCCGAGCAGCCTCCTGCCTTTTCCCTCTCGCACCAGTTGCTCACGGGCCAATCTGGGCCGCATGTTTGACACGCATGTTTGAGTCCACCCTCCAAAGCATCCATTTTCTCCAGGGGACCTATGTATTCTGGAGATGGACTATAATTCCAGGAGATCCCCAGGTCCCACCTGGAGGCTGGCATCACTACCTGGAGCTCTGTGGTCACATGACCGTGGTAAGGGCGGGGGCTCATGTTGAAAATGTTAGTCCCATGCAGTGTTCCCTCTAAGCTGAGTTAATGTGAGCTAGCTCGCAGTTTTTTAGCCTCCGGCTCACATATTTTTTGTCTTAGCTCAGGAAGGATGGAAATGCTGACATTACAAATGCTTACCTGACACTCTTGGGTATGCCTTATATACCTGCATGCCTTGTGAATAATATGGAGTATTGATTTCTCAAACTTTGCTTGACTAGTCTTGACAGACTTAAAAAAAAGAAAACAGCCCTGCAGTTGTAATTGGTCCTTCTCTGGTGAAGACCTTGGAAATGAACACATTACCTGGAAATTTCGTTAGAATAAGATTACTCTTGGACCTTCTTCGCAATTTGCATTCTGTACTTTAAAGATTTTGATAACTTTATTAAAATATAGACAGATATGCCAGTGTAAACGCTTTGAGTATTATTATTTTAGCGTGATACACAGCCCTGTTTCTTTGTTGTCCCTTTAAATTGGCAGCTGTGGTTCTTTCATTATTTTCTCTGTAACATGTAGCAGAATTTATACTGTGGAAAGATGCTGGGTTTTTTGCAGTAGTGCTACACAGCAGTGATCAGGGTTTATGTTGGGGAGGAGCAGAAGAACACACCGTTGAATGTAATTGAGATACCGGTATGCTTTGTTATATATCGCAGAGCGGAGCGGTTATTTTTTTTGTGATGCAGCATCCCTGTATCGTAACATCTAGTTCCATGCAAACAAGTTGCTGGATTAGGATCTTTGTCTTTTCGAACTGGGGGACCTAGTCTCCCAAGGAGCTCAAGACCCTGGATCCAGAATTTAGGTCATAGTGTGAATTTAGAAGATTGGGAGCAAATATGGTTGGAAAACGTCAACATGACTAATGCTGTTGCTTATAAAGAGAATATGTATAAGATGTTCTATAGATTACACATTACATTACACATTGGATTTCTATACCGCCCCTTTCCGTAGACTCGGGGCGGTTTACATAGTTTGTACGATTTTTCTGACCTAGGGGCACATAGACAGGGGAGGTGAATTCCTTACCCAGGCACCCCCTATTTTTGGCAGGGTCTTCTTTTCTTAGCTGTTTTCCACGGCGGTTCTTGCTTGGTGCTGGCGATGTGGTTTGTTTTTTTTATGTTACTCCAGATAGATTAGCAAAGCAAAATGGTAACTGCTCAGATAAATGTTGGAAGTGTAAAAATAAGACAGGCACATTTTATCATATGTGGTAGTTATGTGATGTTTTAAAAAAATTCTGGAAATGGGTGCACTGTATAATGGAAAAAATAAGAAGACGTAACATTCCCTTTACCCCAGAGTTGCTATTGTTAAATATTTTTCCGAAAGAATTCGAGGAAACTAATAGATACCTGATTGTATACATGTCAATGGCGGCAAGAATATTATATGCCAAATGCTGGAAGACTCAAGAAACACCAACCAAACAGGAATATATTAATAAACTTTTAGAAGCGGCGGGAATAGATAAATTAACTATGGAAATGAGAGGCACGAAGAAATTGACATTTCAAAAAACCTGGAAGAGACTATATGATTGGTATAATGTGAATGGAGTTAAAGATTAAGCTGATATGGCAAAATAATATTTGAGTATGTAGTAATATGTAATAATGGAATTAGAGAATACGAACAAATATTAGCGAATAATGAAGCGATGGATTAGGGGTAGTAACAAACTGTACAAGTCTCTTGGTTTATATGTTGTTTGTTGTAGTTGTTTATGTTTGTGTTTAGGAATATAAGAAAATAATAAATGTGTACCCTTGGGTACTTCCCCCCCGCCCAAAAAAAAGACTCACTAAAATTCCAAAGCTAAGTAAGCACCGTAAATCTGATGTCTTGAAGAGAGATATTTTAACATATCAGGGCAATATTGACAAGTATCTGTTTGGTTTTTAGGAGATCATCAGTCTTCTCCAGTACGCCTTTCCCGCGGTTGGAGTACTGATAGCAACTTTGCTGCTCATTCAGAGCTTGCCGTGGACTTATTACATCTATTGCCTGTTACCGGTCCCCATATGGTATGCAGTTTTAAAAGAGTAAGTTTTAAAACAAAAAGCCCACATTTTCTTGAGCTGTTGTATTATTATTTTTTTTTAACCATTTTATTTAGAAAATTTTAAATGAGCTGTTGTATTTGAAATGCTTGAAAGTTGCTTTTCCTCCTTGAATGGTGTGCGTGCGTGCGTGTGCACCTGGAAATCATGGTGACCTCTGATGACTGACCCCTACTGGGGACCTGAAGGATATTCAGAGAAGTGGCTGAATAAAGCCTGGCCCTGCCCCCAACTGCTGGTATTCCAAGGACTTGCCTCAGTTGACCCTGCTTAGCTTCCTATATCTGACAAGATTGGGCTTGCCTGGGCTATCTAGGTCAGGGCAAACCCAACACACACACCTCATGTGCCTCTTGAAGTTGTTTTTATTCATTCTTACTGAGAATTTTTTTTACAAGCACGTGTCTCAATTTAATAGCGTTTAGTACTAAGAATGATGAAGTATATACAACGGCTTTTCCTGTGACATGTTTGAGTTGGTAAAAAGTTATTTTCAATTAAGTTATTTTTGGATTGTTTTCCGAATAAAGGCTGAATAAGACGCTAGAAGGCGTAGTGATGTTTCTGGTTCTTAGGCACTTATGCATCTCTGAGATTGTCCAATGGAATTTTTCCCCAACAGATACCCCGTCATTCAAGCGCTGGCCGCGTCTCTTCTGAACCTTCCATGGACTCATTCGGTTGGATTTCTACTAGCGTCTACTCTGGGAATTGAAATATTAGTAAGTAATGTGCCAATTTATTCACTTTTTTGATGAAAATGTCATGGTTGTGTTAGCCAAATTGCCTTATATCTTAATAAATGTGGGGAATTATGAATATTAATTGGCGATAGGCATCAACTATAGGACCAATAACCTATGTATACGGGAGTCCAGCTTTAGCCAGATCCCAGAAATAGACGCTGAGACTAGATCTTAAGAAGCAGTTACTTCTTTTACTGAAAGGATTCTCAAACACACAGTAGAAAATCAAACATACACACACACAAAATACAGATCTGGGACTTCAGATAGAAAGGTACAGAGATGTTTGCATTAGCAGGAAATATCATTGGTAGGCAATACTTTACCTGTGCGACGTGGCGAGTTGAATCTGCAGCAAAAAGGAAATATCTAGGGGAGGGGAATCGTGAGTTGCCAGCAACACACATGGGGAGCAGTATTCCCTCTAAGCTGAGTTAGTGTGAGCTAGCTCACAGTTTTTTAGCCTCCGACTCACACACTTTTTGTCTTAGCTCAGGAAGGAGGGCTCTAGAGCGAAATAATTTATGCAGTAGCCAAATCGCTCACTCACAACTTTCATGCCAGTAACTCACAAAGTAGA